TAACGCCTTTAAGTAAAATGTGTTTTGGTTGTTATGTAGAATATGGCTGGACAAAATATAGTGTTGTTATGCCGGTGGGGAGGTGAAATTCTATGCGATGGATCAAATGTTGAGTATAGTGGAGGAAATATGTAACCACTAATACTTGAACCGAACATGACAATCAATGATTTGATGAACGAGGTTCATAGTAGTATTGGTTCAAACCCAATGAATGTTAAACTGAACATTAAAATGAGGTTTGATACTGGCCATGGGGTTCAAGTGTTACCTGTTTCTACAAACAGACATTTGAAAGCTTTGAGGAGCATTGTTGCAATGAAGGGTGTTCCCAATGAGATATATGTAGAAGCGGTGCCTATATGTACCTAACAAAGTACTCGGCCAGAACATCAAGCTACATATGTCTCTGATTACAACACCGCGTCCTTCCAAGTGCCTTCAAACCACATTCCATTGAATGAATATGGGATGGGATCTTTTAGTCGAATGCTGCAGGACGATCAATTTCACTTGCCGTTAAGTTCTCATATAGCTTCACCAGTACATGCGGGGGGATGTGTGACAATGTTCGGCCAACCCGGTCCTTCGTCATCGAACACCGTGGAATCTTCAACGACGCAATTGCATAGTTATTCGCCTATGCAAGATGATGTTCAAGCATCACCGTCTCGAGAAGAGCCAAATCATTTTGATGATATTGTGAATAATGAATTGTCGGTGAATGATGTGTATGGGGAAACAAATTATGAGGACGAGAATGGAGAAGAGGATGATGAACCTGCACAGATGGAAGTTGGCGAGCCCTTGGTTAGTGCCTGTTTGGTGATGTTGTATCGCCACCTGTGTAGAGCCTCACACAGTGGTGCACTTGAGATTGGTGGACCTCTGATCGTGCTTCAGGTAACCAACCTAATATTTCACAAACTAATTACGTAATTACTAACGTCATATTAACATAGTTTTGTATTTTTCTATTGGCGTTATGGGCTTGGGAGCACATCCACGTAGGAAGACCAGGTAGGCCTGCTGTACATCGTCGGGGGCAGCAGGATCAGGATGACCAGTATGAGCCGTACATCGCTCCACCGCTCCCTGCAGCTGATGAGGCATACGGTTGTAGGTTTGTAACATTTGTCATTCTTTTTTGCCCCCATACGGGTTCATTTTGCTAACAAACAAAACAAAGTTGTTGCCATAGGTGGGTGGTCCCCAGACTCACACAAGCACATGCGGCGACGGGTCTTCCGTACTACTGAGACGCCCTTGATCGACTCACTGAGCATTAGGTGGAAACTTTTAAGATATTTGAAATCAATTTTGTACTGTGTAAATTGTATGTGGACTAACTTATTTATAATATTTATTTTGATGTGTTATTGCAGATCACATGGGATCCATATGTACCGGAGTTGGTAGATGCCATGCCTGCACATCTACTGGATCATCAGGCAGAGTGGCGTGCCAGGATCCCCCTGATCTGTTTCGAGGTTGTGGAGAGTCACCTACTCGACCTCGTCATGAGACAGTTTTGACTACGCCAGTCTATTCCCCAGCATTGTGACACTAGTGCACGCCTTCATGGCATTGACCGGTGGGAAAAGGGGGAGACAAACTGGTCACTAGAGCATTGGCAATTCCTCCAGCTATGGCAGCAATGGTTGGATTATGTCGTTCGAGGTGATCCGATGCAGGGCGTTATGGATCCTCACGATCCGTACATGGTGTGGTACAGGCGTATTACACGCCGTTTCATCAACCCCAGCTACACACCATCGTCCACACATTACCACCAGGCATATGACGTCATTAGCGGATATGCGAGTTTCTTTTATTCTACTTGTCGTCCTCATTTTTTATTTTTTTATATATTATGTAACTGACTGATCGATGATTACTGCAGGCGACGTATTGTGGCGATGTATGATGCAATGTCCCTCGCCCTTGTAGACGGCCCCACCAGAGCCCAGGTCGAGTGGATGCGAGATATGTCTGTGACTTCCTTAAAGAGACATGGCCGCGGTTATCTCGTCCACCAGCAGGACGGTCATGATAGCCACTCCGTCCATTCACAGTTCGACCCCGGCCAGAGTAGCGGTGGAGTTGATCCAACGTCACCCACAAACGCAGAGGAGTATAGTACATTATCCACAGTACTGCGCCCACCGGGACCTAGGAGGACACATCGTCCAACCAGCTCACTCCCCCCGCCCCGAGACCCATTCACCACCATTACTCATTACAGGCGGCGTCGTGTCCGACGGAAGGACGACAATCAGGCTAGGGAACCGTTAGCCCGAATTGATGAGTCAGAATAGTATTGTATGATTTATTTGTTGTAGACAAATATTTTCTAGAATGTTGTATATAACGATTACATTATTAATATAATACATGTTTGTTGAATGAATCGGTGTGTGGTTTGAAGTTTTGTTTCCTTATTTATCCAAATCAGACTTATGTCAGTCAAAATAGATCTTTCTAGGCCGATATATATCAAACAACAGACATTTGGGATCCATAATCTGAAACGGGGGTAGAAGCGATGGCTCGTGATGGTTAATATGGTGGTTCATGGTGGTTTTAGTGTTGTTGGTTGTGGTGGTCGGTGGTCGACGGTGGTGGAAAGGTTGGGGCTGGTAGTGGAGGTGGTTGAAGTGTTGTTGGGGGTGGTTGGACTGTTATGAAGTGCATAAGGGTGGTCAAAAGTGGCGGAAGGTGGTGGTCGACGGTAGGGGTTGGTGGTTGACAGTGGTGGCTTAATCAAGGCAGGGGGTGGTGTGTTGGGGCAGAAATTAGAGAAGAAGGGAAGAAATTAGAGAACAAAGGCTGCTGGTTGCTGGTGTTGCAGACCAGCAGAGAAACGCTGTCTATGATAGCGTTTTATGTTGTACATAAGACACTGTCGCAGTCAGCATTTTATGTGTTTATTATTTTTTTTTTTAAAAAAATCAGAAATTACAAAAAAAAAATTTTAAAAAAAGTTAACAACTAAAAACGATGTCCTAGACAGCGTTTTTAAGATTGAATTTTTTATAAAAAAAAAAAACTAGGGCATAAAACATTGTCCGAGACAGTGACAGGATCTGTCGTATCACCTAATCAAAAGTAATTCCTAAGTCCTCTAACTAAAGTAGATAGGGAAGTAGGGTCGAATCCACAGGGAAACAATGTTCTTTTATTCCTAATCAACAATTATAATCTAAATTATTAAGTAACCAATTTATGTTTGTAGGAATTAATCTAATGATCGAACTAAGCAAATAAAATAATGGAATAATCAATACTAAATGATGTAGGGTATAGGTTCACCAATAAATAATACTCCAGGGTAAAACATACGATCAATAATCAATGCATAAATTAACCAGATTATAAAGGGCTGTCGCTACGTATTATAATCACATAATTAATCTACTGGTATTAAATCTCATCTCTCGAATCTCGACCTAACCATTAATAGACTAACATGCCTATTGAAACTAAGCCTAAACATCAATTCTCATCTGTCGAATCTCGAATCAATATTGCAAAACTCATACAATTAAACCTGGCCAAATCAAATTGCATAGTATTAAATCAATCAATAGGAAATTAATCAATCATCAATAATTAACAATAATAAATTACCCTTTCGTATTATTCATGGATCCCCACAAACCCTAGAATAAAATCTACTCACACATAATTAAATCTAAGCTAAACATAATAATTAAACAAGACATGAATAAACAAATTAATTAAATTGCGGAAAATAAAAACAAGAAAGAAATCGTACCCAAAATTAACGGAAGTATGAATTGAATTAATGGAGAAAGTGTAAAGAGAAAATATTGTAAAACAATGGGAAAATCTCCAAGATTCAATCTTTTAAATCTAACAAAACGTAATTAAGATAATGAAAGTGTAAGTGTACGAAAATAATTACAAAGAGTATTTATACTCTCCTAATTAAAATAAAGATAAAATAAAACAAAAGCTAAGAAAATATCTGAAGAAACACGCGCCCGGTCGGGCAAGGGCACCGCCCGGCCGGGCGCGCCTTTTCCCTCTCAAGTGCGAAGCTCGCGCCCGGTCAGGCGCGCATCCGGGCGAAGCAATGCCCGGGCCTTCCTCCTCGCCCGGGCGCGCCTTTGCCCGGTCGGGCGAACGCTTGGTCTGATCATTTTCGTTCTCTTGGGCTTTGTTGTCTTGGCCCAAATCATCATCCTTCTTAGATCCAATTGCCCAAGCTCCAAATCTCTACACCGAGCCCTTAATCACTGATCGATTTCTCAAACACGGTCCTAGGCTTCAAAACACGATCATAGAAACGCGTCTCGTCTCCATTGCTCGCGGTGGCTCCACTAAGGGCCAGAAAATGCACCAAAACTGCAATTTCCTGTAAAATAACACCACAACTACGAAAACACTAGAAAACGCATATTAGTAATAAAATTGGCTCTAAAGAGCCAAAAATACTCCTAACTATGATTACGGGACGGGGATGAAATACTATATAAAATGGACACATCAGACAGCGTTTTCCCTAAAAACTTAGTTTCGTAAATACTTTTGCTACACAACCATTTTGGTAATTATTTTGCCAATTGAGCTTAGTTTGGAGAAAAGTCCTATATATTTGGTTTCATCTAAAATTGTTTGGTTATTTATCATGCTGTCATCTTATTTTTTATTTAAGTTACTATAATGCTAATATTTAACCACCTATATTGACCTCGTTCTTAAGATATGAGTGTCAACAAATAAAGTGCATGCAAATTAAAATTCTTACTCGTAATTAATATTTTTAAAATAAGTGTAAATTGTGTTTGAAAGACATATACAAAGTACTTGAGTAAAAGATAACCATTAATATGTAAATTCCTTTAGCCTAACATGTAAGCATTAAAAGCAAAGGAAAATTGCCAAATTGAGCTACCATATGTCCATATTCATTATAGAAATATTATGCCTACCATGCAAGATCTCCTCAACCTTTAATTTTTCAAGTAAAATTATACATAAGAAAAAATTATCACATATAGATGTTCTATACAAAGTATATAACTAATTCTAAGCCACAAGATTGCATTTTTATGCCTCTTAAACTTTCTTTGCAAATAATTATCTCCTTCCATGAATTATTTATTTGCAAGCACTTATTTCTTTAATCATCATTCAACTTACAATTACATTAATACTAATTATTCATACTTGCTTGTTTCTTTATGAACCTGAAACACTAGGTTTTCTCTTTAGTTTTGCTCTTCCAAACAAAGTCACCCTTCTAAAGATCTTTAATAATCTGCCAGCATATTTCCTCTGAGAAGAAAAATTTACTGAACCAATGCAACTAGTAACTTGTCCAAGTGAATTATTCCTCCTTTTACTACTATGTGATCTTCCTTCTAACCCAAAGTTAATCATTTTGGGAGGGTCTTCTTCTGTTTCTTTCGTGTTCTTCTTCAACCGAAGACTCTTCTTAAGAGATACAAGCTCTTGTTCAAGATTCTGAATTCTGAAACTCGTGGACTCGTACTCCTTTTTTGCTGCTGCAAGTATCTCAGACTTTTTTTGCATCACTACATGATCACTCTCTAGTAGGCAACTTAATGGTTTGTTCATGATCATTATTTCACCCTCGTGATCACTCTCTCCTAGATTTTGGCTTTTAGAATTTTGATATCTTGAACTCGAAAGACTTCCTGAGAGTTCCCTTGAATATGCAAACCTGAATGACTCTGAACATTCCTTGAAGGCATGCTGTGTGTTGAGTTGCTGAATAAAGAGTGCTTGAACTATTAATCGAAGTGGCATGAACTCGTTCTGCACTGCCTCAACGCATAATTCTTGGGACAATTTTTGACAATTCAAGTACTTGCAGACCGTGTTTTTATCTTCTTGTGACAGATGTGGATGTGCCTGAAAACAGTTTACAGATCACACTGTTAAACACATTCAATTACTTCACATGTATTCATAGGTTTCATACAAGGTTCTATTTTTAGTCTTTTTTTTTTTTTTTAATTCTAACATGCTTCACCAATAGGACTGCAATACTGAATAATTTTCGAGTATAGATATATGCTTACCTGGATGTATGTGTTCATTGCTGCATAAAGATGATCATGATTATTTCTGTAGGATATAGGCACTATTTCAACAAGATTCATGAACTTCTTTGGTGTCATATTTGGATCATGGGCAATCAAAGAGAGGTATGAATCCCACAATTCTGCCACAATACTGTTTCCCATAGGAGGGCTTTGCTTCATTTCAATATTAGACAAAACATATGAGGAAAATATACTCTCCATCACACCCACTTCCATACTTGATGTAAAGGACTCTGTCAGTTGTTTTGGAAGAAGAAAATCTTCAACGTGTGCCAAAGGTAAAAGAAACACGATTTGCTGTTGTAGCCTTTCCTTTCCTTCAGTCATGCTTGATCCACCAAGCTCGAGAGATCTAGCTAATAAGGCGAAATAGAACCCAACAGGAATTATTTTACTCACCTTCGATCCTACATGCAACAAGTCTAGTATTCCTTTTAATGTTTCCAATACCTTATCACTCGTATCATCATCACGAGTGTTACTATTGTTGTTGTCATCATCATTGTCACATAAACACTCCCAAAATTGTCGCGTTTTCTTAGAGATCACCCATTTGTTGGCATAAAAAACAATGATGGGACTTACATATTTCTCCTTCATACCTTGCCTTCTTAATGACCCTATAACCCTTTTGAAAAACCCAAATGGAAGAGCAACTAAATCTTTTATCCAAAGATGATCTTGATCACTTAGAATTTCCTTTACGAGTTTGCTTTTCCATGGCTGGGATGCAAGAGCTTCTAGTGACACAATTCCCTTCTTCCTTTTCCTCTCGGGATCAAGAATCTCCATACAAGCCATAAAGGCCAACGATTCTATACACCGACTCACAATTAGAAGCTCCTCTGCACAAGGGAGCAACGCTTGGCATTTTTGCAGCACAATTAGGGTATCATCCCAACTTTGCAGTATCACCTGAGTTAAGTACAGGTCAGTTCTTTCACATAAGTTGCCAGGGCCACCCAAAGCTTCTGTCATCTCTAGAAATTCGGCTGCACAACGAAGGGATGCAACATTGAAAGGATCAATAAATGTGGAAGAACCATAGATGAAGAGCGCGATCATCTCAAATGTTTCTGAACCTCCAGGAAAATTCGATGGCAGATCAACTTCTTGCCATTCATTTAACTGCCTCTTGAAATATCCACTCTTAGATATCAATGGAGACTAAAAAACATTTAAAACAGGACAAACATTAGCCTTAAGAAAAATTTCAAACTTTTGAATTTCATACATGACTAAATTTAGCTTTGTTTGCTAGCTTATTACCTTGTGCAAGTTGAAAGATCTATTAGCAACACGAACACGAACTGTTACAGGCAATCCAGTCTCTTGACTCCTGAATTACACATATAAATCATTATGTAACATATATAAATGGATTCATGTCCTATAACTTGGGTACCTAAATCAACATATATGAACTGTTGGAAGAGCTTAAAAAGGGTTAAATAATTACCATGATATGACTTTAATCTTCAGTAAGGCACTAAGATTTTGTGATGAGTAAGGACTTGATAGAATAGACGAATCTTTCGGGCTAAATGCTTCCATTGCTGCTAACAAATCTTCATTCAGAGCGAGTCATTAAAGAGAAATACTCTGTATTAGTTATTAGTTAAGCATTATTTTTTTGAGTACAATAACAGAACCAGCCCATTAACATAATGTTAAAAGCTCTAAAATAGTTAGTCTATGTAGAACAAATGCTTGAATCTGAGAACGTTGACAAATCAGAAAAGTGAGAAATGAGTAAACTAAAGTAGGCAATTAGGTAAATGATGTACTCTCTTAATTTATCATGCCTTGTTTTTCAAAAAGTGGTTAAGTTGAAAATTTTCTATTATTTTGTCCCTTGTTTATGAAATAATATTTGTTCTCCTATAATAAAAACTCTTAGGCCTTAGTATACGTGTGATATCTTGTACATATACTAAATCAGTACAAGCTACAAGATGGCCACATATATTATACAAAGTTCCTAGAGGTATGGGGTTCGAATCCTATCAAGTGAAGATACTTGAGGGTAGGGATTCCCTTACCCTCCTCTCTACTCCCAAGTGCCTGACCCGTAAATACTAGACCAAAATACCCATGAGGGTTGAGGTCTAGTCAGGGTCCTCCTTACCAATTAAAAAAAAAAAAACAAAAACACATATATTATACAAAGTATTCCATATAACCTTTTCGAATAAATTATAATTGAAATTAATGATCATAAGTTATTAATTTTGACCATGTCGTGTCAAAAACAAACCTTGGTCGATATTGGTGCCTTTTGTTTTAATATGAGGAGTCGAATGTTTCTATTTGCTCTACGAGAACATTCCGTTTTTAGTATTTTCTAAATTAATCATAAGAGAACTTGTTAAGACTACCCTTATATTGCAAATGGGCTAATACTCAGTAGTTATTGCTATAAACAAATGCTTAACAAAAAGAACAAAATTACCAAACCCATTCACAATCTACATATCACAATAATGTTCTTCGAAACAACAACAAAAAACAGGAATCACATAAAATCGAAGTATCGACTTATCCTAAAACAGTAACGATTTAAATACTAACCAATCCCTGGCTGCCGAATCCTATGAAGATGAAGGACAACTTAAATAGATGATAAACACAGCACCATTAATTTTCTCTCCTCTGCTTCTTGGCCAGCTACTTTTACTTGTGCTCAATTATTGACTAGTACCATAAAATTTACCCATTTGAAACAATACACTAGTATTAATGTTAACTAAGACAAAACAACCTGTACTTTAAGTTTAAAAGTTTTGAATTTGGTAAAAAAGAGGAGTAATTTCTGAGGAAAAAAGTAAATCATGAATTACGGAAGAAGTCATATAAATTTGTATGAATTTGTGTTACGCCCAAGACGGCACGGCTACTGAATACTAATAATAATCTAGCATGTTATAATACTATGTAGTATTAAATTTGTTTTATTTACATTTATTTCATCAATTATTTTTTCAATCCCAAAAAATTGAATCATGGTTGTTATTTATGTGTTATATAGTATGATTATTAATTTGCATTTTCTAAGATTATCGATGTTCAAAGCATGGATATTTGTTATGTGCGTAAAATAATGCATGTAATTTGGGTGAAGGAGGTGGAAAATATTATAGGTTTAGCTGATTAAGAGGTTATTGATTTGCTTGTAACTCAAGCAACACATTCTTTTATAAGGTCAGAAATTGTGTGCCAAGAATTGGTTCAAGTATTATATATACATATAGGGGATACTTTGTACGGTTGTACACGTATGGATTTGTAGACAAATGAAGGCAGGAGTTCAATTAATGCAAATAAAATACTTCTATTAGTCGACAATTTTCATATATATGAGCGTATGTACCATATGTATGAGACTAAATGTTTGCCATTTGCTCGTTTGGAAGAGCTTCCAATGAGCAAAAACAGTGTAGATGTATTGTGCACATGATTAGACCTGTTAAACAGGCCGGATTTGGGCTGGGCTGGACCTTTAATTAAATGGACTGGACTGGGTCGGATTACAGTTAATCTATAATAGGCCGTGCTAGATCAAGGGTCGTTATGTCCTGTCCAGCCCAACCCAACCCTTTTAAACTTTATAATCAAAGTTATAACAACCCACTAAGTTAGGTAAAATAAAATCTGAACCCATTATTAGAAACAATAGGATAACCAAAAAAAAAAAGATTAAAAGTTGAAAATGAAGGAAGCAGCACCACCTAAACATTATGCATTTACGACGTCGTCTCGGAAGACATCGTGGCAGTAGTTGCCTACCACCAGACTTTAGCGGGAGAACTCCATTAGTTTGGGTTTTGTTTAGTTTTATTGGGGAATTATTAGAGAAGTTGTTCCAAAGAATTTGATTTTAAACATGGATTTGAGTATTTCTATATATGCATCTGAGTTTTGTAATTAGTGTCTGTTGATATTTTCTGAAATTTTGCGCGTACATGGATTCTGAGAAAGAGTATCAAAATCAATTCAGGAGCGCAATAAAACTCACTTTCTGTCAAAGATGATGATTGTAGAAAAAACGAATTTAGTACGAGGAGAAATTTTGGGAATTCTTTATAGGGTTTGTAATTTGGAAATTTGGGTATTTTATTTTTTAGGGTTTATAATTTGACTAAAAAGGGAGAGTTATGAGAATCAGAATGAGTTGATAACCCTTAAAAGCCCATGAATTGATAACCCTTTAAAAGCCCTTTTAAAACTTGACCCAACCCTTTACAGGCTCATGATTTGATAACCCATTAAAAGCCTGACCCATTTACATGTTGGACGGGCATAATCCTTTATTAAACTGGCTGGGTCAGGGCTTTGAATGGGCCGCTAACCCATTGAACAGGTTTACACATGATACACTCAAATAATGTCTAGGATTAATAATCAAAAAGGGTTTTTTAAAATAAGTTCTCACTGTTCTTACCATAGAAATTTATTTGATTTTCAGGGAAAGGTGAAATTTAAAACTGACAACACTTATAATTAATTTTACCCAATAAAATCATGACATTTGAAATTAGAGTTAGAACATTATGACACAAGTAACAATGTTACGAGGGAATTCATTACTATACCCTTGATTTTGAATATGAGTAATGTAATTGAGAAATAGTAGTGATAACCATCCCTTATTTACTTTCAAATTTGACAAAATTTGGAGACAACATAGTTGATAGTTACATAATATACATGCTAAATATAAAATATGCTTAATAAATGTGGCATATAATATATATTAAATTTAAAATATGCCTAATAATTGTGGCATATTAAAATATCCTATTTTTGAACGGTTAGACAGAGCTTATGGTACCTCTTCTTGGTTTACGGATTACTCGGACACAACGGTCCTCCACCAGCCTATCTTGTTCTCAGATCATGCTGCTATTATTCTTTCGGATATACATGATTCAGAGCTTGTGAAGCGTCCTTACAGAATTGAGAACTGGTGTTTGTCCGCCTCAGAAGTTCGCGATATTATTCAGTACGTTTTCTCCTTGGTTTTCCCGGGCTCACCTATGTTAACTTTGTCTTGAAAACTATCAATTTCCCGGGAGCGTTTGCTAGCTTGGTGTATTTCTCATAAGAAGGCATGGGGATTAACTGGAAAAATTTGGTGTTTCGAATGAAAACAATGGGGCCTTTGGCAGGCCCTTTTAAGGTGGAGAAAATTTGTCTCGGTCCAAAGAATGTCGGAGCCGAGGCTTATTCCTGCACAGCAAAGAACACGTAAAACTGGCCTCGGGGGTTGTGCCAAGGAAGGCCCCTCCGATGCCGAAGTCAGTACGGTGTTTAAAAGAGAGAGAGAATGAGCTATGCAAGAGATTTAGTGCTTGAGGCTGATTGTGGATGAATGTGAAGTGGGATGAAGGCTAGCTTTTATACCTTTGCTTAATAAAGCGGCTTGGGGCCTTGGAGCTAAGTGGGCTTGCCACTTAGACCGAACCTTTGACTGACTTGACATTAGGCTGGAGAGTTGAACCTTGCTTTTGGGCTTTGAATTGCATCATTTGTGGACTAGGCCCAATTGAGGATAAATTGGACCCAAACAACTTGCCCCCCAGACCCGGTTTGGAAGAATAACGAATCGGGTTTTGACTTGCAAAGTTGGAGGGAAGCAAATGATGACAACTTTTAATTAGGAGAAGTTTGAGAGGTTACTGATACTAATAACCGTTAACTTGGAGATGATTGGAAGAAATGGGGAAGTGGAGAAGACTAGTGGGTCATTAATTGGAGGAGAACACGAACAATTTATTAAGTAAAGTGGGATTAATGGGGTTATTAGTGGCGTGAATTCCAAAAATCTTGCTTCTAGAAGATATTTAAGCCACTTGCACCTTAATCCTTGATCACCTTACTCATTTTCGCATGAACAACCCAGCATTTCACTAAGTTTTCCTCTTTACCCGAATTTGCTTCTCGCACATACCCAACAATCCGAGGCTTTTAGGTGAAATTCGTTGCTCCGAACTCAAAGATCGGCGAATTCCGCACCTGATTGAGGTAATTTTTTCTGAAATTTCCTCAGCTTTCTTTGATTTTTGAACATATTTCTTTTTCTGCTCTTTCGAACTTCCGTTCAATTAAAAATGGCCGGCGACCAGGAAAGGAACCAGTTAGGTCTGAATCAAACGCCGAGGAAGATGAAGAGGAAGTGCCGCAGCTAATTCTGAGGCGGAATCACCCTTTGGCGATGATGCCTTTTCTTAGTGGCCAGAACCCTAATGCTAGGGCTGGGTCAGCTACTGTTTCGAGTGGCGCTGCGCTGAGTGCAGTGCCTTTAACGAGCATGCCCCCTGCAGACTCAGCCGAAGCCAGTACCTCTGACCGAAGTGAGGCTTCTGCATCAAGACCGTTGACTCCCGAGGAACGGGAGTGGACCGAGTTTGGAGAAAATGAAGGCATAATGAATGCTGCGCCTTACTTTGGTGGATTAAGAATGACGCCAAGTACCATTTTGCCGAACAACTTGAGATCTATTACGACATCATGGAAGAGGACGGTTATTGGTGCCGAATGCCCAATGCCACTAATAGGATTCACCGATCTCCACCTGGGTACATTGGGGTTTATACTCGGCAATTACAGTATGGGTTTCGGTTTCCCGCTCACTCCTTTGTCATAACATTGTTGAATGGATACAACATATCCTTGTCCCAGCTGACCCTAGTGAGTGTCCGAAGGATTATGACCTATCTCTGGGTCTGTTTGTTTTATGGGTTTGAGCCGAGCGTTCACTGTTTTCGCTGCATTCACAAACTCATGCCAAACACCCAATCAAACAAATGGCATGGTCCTGGGTGGTGGCAGATAGAGGATGAAAAGGGATTTCTTTCATCTTATCCAAACGACACTTCGGATAAGGATTGGAGGGGGCAATGGATGTGGATCCGAGCACCCTCAGACGAAGCTCATCCGAACTATTTTGGCAGTCCCCAATATCTAAGGAAATCAGATCCCAAAATGTCTAGCATCGGCCCTGATGAATTCACCGATGTTGATCATCGCCAAATGGAGTTATTTGGCCGAAACCGAATGCCTTGAACTACTGGGCGAATGGCAAATGTACCGAGTACCTGGTTTCCTTGTTTCCATTACATTTTCCAAGAGAAGATGCTCGTTGTTGTCGGCCTCAGCCGAAGATACCAAAGCGGTAAGGG